TTGAGGCTCTGTCTCAAAAAAAAAAAAAAAAAAAAAAGACTTAAATCAAACTTAAACTTTAAGCTATTTCTTGTTGGATTTATCTCAAAGAAAATGGGTATTGGCCAATTCAGAGAATCTCATTCTCCTTTACCCTCGGGCAGGGGACAGCACAGAGGGAACCCCTGCCTGGACATCCAGGTGGCCTGATAACAGGAACCCATGAGGCTGAAAGACTTTCCCAAATCCTTGGTGTCCTATGGCCTTTCTCCTCTTATGCAGCCCGTTGATCTCCATGATGTTTGTGCTGCCCAGATGGAGCATGGTGTCCAGCACTGTGGTTCACACTTAACCTGCACGCCCCTTGGGTTCTTGTTAGCTAGGGCAGCCAGGACAGAGCCTTCACCTCAGGAAGCCAGGAGGTTTCAAGAAAGGCTGTCTGCAAGTGCTTGCTGCCACATAAGTGCTGCTTCAGACAACTAGATCAGAACCTCCAGGCTGAGGGAAGCCAGCACTGGATAAGTGTCTGCACACCAGAAATGTTTCTGGGCATTTAAATATATTTTCTGGTCCCACCTTGCCCCTGGAAATTGCAGATGAGGGGTCAAGCTCTGAGCCACGGTGGCTACCACATGGACTTGTGTCCTTAGCACTCGTGGCCTGGGGCCCACTATGGAGTGTCACCTTGCAGAGGGTATGGGCTTCATGGCTGTGGGGCTGGTGCCTTTACTGTCCAGGAGGTGATGTGAAAGAAGTGGCCAAAGGAGGCTCGGCTGGCGTCCATGGAAACAGGGCGTTAAAAATGGAAACTGTGCCATCAGCAGTGCCGTTACCAGTCATTGCCCTGGACGTAAATAGTGAGGGGACAGCAAAAGCTAATGGGGAGGAGGATATTAGTCAAAGAATGTCCTTGCAGAGGGAAAGACTTTGCATTTTATAATGCGCCATAATGATGAAGTTAAGACACCTCTGAGAGAAATAACTCTCCCACTTGTAATATGGAACTACTTCTGGGGCCCAGCTCTCCCGGTGCCTCTGTTGGGCTCCAGGAAGGGACATTAATGGGCCTCCCGCCCCAGGGCCCGTCCAGGGCATGGATGAAAAATACCCCCACACTCACAGCCTCCTGAGGGGCCCACTGGGGGCCCAACATAAGGCCCTGCCTGGAGACTGTTCACTGGAGCCACTGTCTCCTGCCATTGAAAATGGAACTGACCCCACACAGATGTGGCCCTGCGGGTCCCTCACTGGATCTCTTGTGTTTCTTTTTTTTTTTTTTTTGAGACAGAGCCTCAAGCTGTCCCCCTGGGTAGAGGGCCGTGGCTTTACAGCTCACAGCAACCTCCAACTCCTGGGCTCAAGCGAGTCTCCTGCCTCCGCCTCCCAAGTAGCT